TCTGGTGATAGCACTGCACGCATATGGGATATGTCCGATGCAACAAGTAGCCCTAACCAATTAGTTTTACGCCATTGCATTCAAAAGGGAGGTGCAGAAGTTCCAAGCAACAAAGATGTTACATCATTAGATTGGAATGTAGGTACACGTRAATGCTTAAATATTRTATTGTTTGCAAATAAAAATGTACAYATTTAAAAATTTACGTTTTTATAGTGCGATGGCACCTTGCTAGCTACTGGCAGTTATGATGGGTACGCACGCATATGGAAAACTGATGGTCGCTTAGCATCAACTCTCGGTCAACATAAAGGTCCAATATTTGCATTAAAATGGAATAAACGGGGCAATTATATACTCTCGGCTGGTGTTGATAAAACTACTATAATCTGGGACGCTTCTACGGGACAATGTAACCAACAATTTTCTTTCCACAATGCACCCGCACTCGATGTCGATTGGCAAACAAATGTATCATTCGCTTCGTGTAGTACTGATCAACGTATCCATGTGTGTCGCCTTGGCTCAGATATGCCAATTAAAACATTTAAAGGTCATACTAATGAGGTGAACGCTATAAAGTGGTGTCCACAGGGTCAATTGCTTGCCTCCTGCTCGGACGATATGACACTGAAAATTTGGAGTATGAAGCAAGACAAATGCTGTCATGATTTACAAGCTCATTCTAAGGAAATCTATACAATCAAATGGTCTCCCACTGGACCAGGAACACAAAATCCTAACACGAATCTAATACTTGCTTCCGCTTCATTTGACTCCACCGTACGTCTATGGGATGTTGAGCGCGGTACATGCATTCATACTCTTACGAAACATACAGAGCCTGTCTATTCGGTAGCATTTAGTCCAGACGGAAAGTATTTAGCGTCAGGAAGTTTCGATAAATGTGTACATATTTGGAGTACTCAGTCGGGACAGTTAGTACACAGTTACAAAGGCACAGGTGGTATTTTTGAGGTCTGTTGGAATTCCAAGGGTACTAAAGTGGGTGCCAGCGCGTCGGATGGTAGCGTTTTTGTGTTGGATTTAAGAAAAATTTAGAATTTAGTTTAACTACTCTATGATATACGAACAATTATTATAAGATAGTATTTGAACATCAAATTAAAAGCATGAAACATTAGAACTTTAGGTATGAACATTAAAAGTATATTTATTGGGTTTGATGTAGATTTCAAAGTAGAATGTTTAGTATATTTTTATAATTTTGTAAAATAATATTTCCAAAGCCCAAAATATTTGCAGATCGAGTTTTCAGAACTACTTTATTTCCTATTTAGCTGCTTCGTTCAATAAATATTTGCAATAATTTCCGTTTGTTATTGTTAGACTACGAGAATTTAAGATAGAGCTATGTTTTATTTTTATGTACATGTACATATAGTAATTCGCCTTTAAAAAATATTTTATTATAACAAAATTATTATAAGTAAATGAACAAGAGATTCTACAACGCTTTTCTATCAAGAATATCTGCTATTTCTTTAAGGATATCACCGTTAGTTTCTCTTAGTCCAAGCGTAATTAAAATTTCAGTTTTACATTGGCTTAGTTTAGTTCTGTTGATTAAGAACTGTATACCGGCGCGTACCTCCATTTGGTCAACACCCAACAAGCATTTCATAGTCACTGGCACCGACGTGTGTAGCTCGGATATATTCTAAATTGTGCAAGAATTATAACATATTTTTCACAAATAATTTCTGCCTTACCAAAGGTGAAATGCGTTTGTCACGTTCATCGCTCGCATCGAATTGAACCAAGTATACATTTGGAATACCACCGTACTGTGTAACTAAAATTACACATTTGTTTGTGAAACGATGGACGACAAATTTCGTTAAATGTTCCTTAATTTTGCAGTTGAATTGTGACTGAAAACCAAGTTGCTCTCTCATTGCCCCTTTTGTTTCGTCCATTTCGTATTGGTTTTACTATGAATCCGCAAAAATACTTTTGTTATGAAGCTCACCGCTGGGTTGTCATATGCACAAAAGTGCGTTGTTGTCAATTATGTCAATAAGTACTACTGAAACCAAAAGACTGACAATTAATATTTATTTTTCTGTGTTATTATTTTATTTACAATATTGTCATCAATAATATGTTGATAATAAACATATATAAGAGCTGTTAATTTCACCATGACGTCTTTGATCTATGCCTAAACGTAGATTAACATTACAAAGATCTGCAAACGCATTCAAAAGTGTTGTATTGAAACATTTTCCACTCTTGCATGTAAATGCTTTTTAATTAAACTTTCATTAATTAAATTGGTTTTTAATAGTGAACCCATTTGCTAAAATACTACAAAAATGCTGTCAATTATTCAAAAAATATAAATATTTACTTTGTAATGAAAAGAACACACCACTTTGAAATGGCCTAAACTATCCGTACTTCAAAAAAGTAGTGTTAAGTGTGTGTTGGACAACACTGGACTCGGAAGATTTCTCTTGACGTTAACTAGTCCAAAAGTTATTTTTCAGTTGAGCAAAAAGAGCAGAGGTAGTAGATTTGTTGGATTTGATGGCTTATTGTCGTATTGTTGTGGAATTTATATTACGGTCCTTATTGTTATCTGTTAGCTAATATTTATTAAATAACTTTTCCTCAAGAAACGCGAAATTATCGATTCAAATTCGAAAATTCGTCAGAATAATATAAAGCATAAAGCAATATTTTTAGATAATTATAATATATAAAAAGGTGTTTTGTTTGTTTGCAAAGAGCAGTGTGTAAATAATAAGGAAAATATACAAGTATATACATATACACAAATATTTAACGTGCCTAACTACTTGTCGATGAATTGGTATGGTTGGTGCGGATTCATTGTAAAAAGTGTCAGTGGCAGTGGCAGTTGCATAAATAAGTTGTTTGGTTGGTTGCGAAGAGTACGTAAAAGTGTAGTGCTGTGATTTTGTGCTCCCAAATATACATATATTATGTCTTCTTAATCAACGTGGTTTGGAGTTTATATTCTGGGCAAAATATTATAAAAATTATATAGGAAAATCTACCGTGTGAAAATAATTGATTTTCAAAAATTTACATAAATTTTCAAAGAACTTTTCCAATACTTAAGAAAACAAAACAAGGCAACAAAATTCAATTCGTTTTTGTTTACAACTCTTCATTACATTCCGAAATTACGGATCCCCAAGGGACGTCCGTCTCTAATCCACCATCGGATACTGAGCGATTTGCGTCATCAGACAGTGAAGCTGAATTTGCAACAGCAACAGCCACGGGGATCAAAACGGCAACTGCGGAACCATATATAATACAACAGTTACGGAGGGAAAAGCAACAAGAAAACAACAGCATTCATTTTCAAATTAGTACCTCTAAGCAGTCACATTCATTACAAACTGTGGATATGGCAGCTGTGGTTCGCAAGAAACAGGATGACAAGTATCTGCAGGTATTGAGAGAACTAGTGACCAACGGTGGTGGCAATAGGCAATGTTTCGATTGTGGCCAGAAGGGACCCACGTACGTCAACATGACAATTGGATCCTTCGTTTGTACCAGGTGTTCAGGAGTACTGTAAGTAAATATATAAACTATCTACAATGAAATGAAATTGTGTGTACATGTTAGTACATGAGTGCTTAAAATAATATTTAATTCGCCGTTAAATGGCAAATACAATTTAAACGTATTTGCGAAAAGGATTTAATTTTTTCATCGGTGAGAAATTTATACATTTTCGCCGCCTCTGCCAGTAAAGTTCAGGTAAAGAAAGGTTCTGACAAATGGATGCTAACCAGACTTTGAGAAAATGGCCCTTGTTGAAATATCGGTAATAAACTAAAAGTTGTTTCAAAAACTGTTGGCAATGCATACAGCTTTGGTATCGCTGATAACGAATGCATATATTATATTAGTTAAATTGAGATTGGTTAAACTTGTTCAAGATTTATCAGTGTTTTTTTTTTATCCATGATTCTTGATTTGTGAATTCTTTGAATTTGGTTAACAGGTTTAAAAGGTGTACTTGTTTATCTGTAAGATATCGGACCTGTTTTTTTTAGAGGAGGAATTTGTTTCAAAGGAAATATGTGTCTAAAATGTCTTTGAACTATTTGATACAAAGTATCTCAAAATTTTAATATTTAGCTAGGCCGTAACTTCACCGACAGACCTGCTGAAAATTAGCAATTGCGATCACGATCAAAGACGTGTATTGAAATTACCCAGAATGGGCAGCCCTTATAGCCGGACATTTTCTATAATTGGACAAATTTGATGAATACAACTATTTTAATATTTGCATACAAAGACAATTCTTATAAACGGACATGAGTTGGTTGCAATGACCGTCCACAGAGAAGATTCATAAAATTTGTCAAGAAAATTGTGTACAATTTATAGTTCCCGGTTTTTTTAATTCTTATTAATTTTTGGTGTTTTACCACGGTTTGTTTTTAGGAACAAAACGAAAATTGTACAGCAAACAAATTGACTAGCCTTGGCATCGTCTAGTACACAGTGGCTCAATTTATCATTCATTTGGCTCGCATTTAGTAGTTTAATATAAATATATAAGTTGCAGCTTTTAACTCTAAAGCTAAGCGACTGTTTTGTCGTTTTTGCCATGTCCCCATATAGGACAGCTCCTTTAGCCGAACAAAAACACTGATATTTGATTCGCATAAGATATATGTACATTTTACCAGATAAATGTAGTTAGGTACATATGTACATACATTGTACATATGTATGTACATATGTACATATGTATGTACACCCAACTCTTTTTTTACACGGATTTGAAGTTACACGGTTGAAAAAATACAAAAAGTAAACAACTTTTAATCTAGTACGGTTTTAAAATCAATGTCTTGTAATTATGTTTGTTTTTACCACACTTAGCACCATTGCTGCAATGAACATACGTAGTAGTAACTGGGAAACTCTTACCTACACATTTTGTTCGCAAGATATTCACATTTTTAAAATGGATATCTGCAGCGATGATACCAACTTTAGTCCAGTTCGTCGCTCACAATTGCGCTTGTTATCAAGTAACGACGAATAATTATGTAGCTATGTAAATATTTTTTCTTTATTTCTATTCTAATTTTTCTGTTCTTACCTCTATGAATTATGTATTTTAAGTTTTAATGCTTAATAAAATGCCACATGAACATACAATTTGTAGGTATATCTGAAATTTTATATTTTCAACATTTTTTACACTGTTTTTCGAAGTAAATATAGTTCTTTATTTCATCTTACACGGTTTTCAGATAACATGGAACGTATCCCCCATTTTACTATAGGAAACGCCTCTTTTTTTAAACGTATTTCTGAGGAACGTAACTACCGTGTAAAAAAAGAGTTAGGTTAGATCGCCGAAATGACAGCCCATGGTCGGATGAAATCCGAGTCAATTCCGGTACGTAGAACCGGCTGTCGTTGGGTGTACATGCAGTGTTGCTTCATATTTAATGTCTTGCTTTCAAACATAATTGTTCATCAGAAATTTTTTTATGTTTACTAATGATTTCTAAACCATTTCTTTTTAGTTCAAAGTCATGGCCATGACTGCATACAAAGCGAAAATACTTTCTTATCCATACATATGTATGTATGTTCATACACTTGCATAAACACCCGATTTTGCATATCTGTACATATGTATGTATAGAAACGTATTCATAACCTATATTTGTATTCGGCGTTTAAAAGTGCAATTTTACCTGGTTAGCTTGAACAAATTGCGCATCATAAATGGAGATGTATGCATGTGTGAATATGAGTGTGTACAAATTAGAAATAAACAGTAATATAATAATATCGAAGATTATTTTTTACATACAGAAATGGACGGTACAAAAGTCGATCCCAGAAATTGGGAAACTTGTTCAATTCGAAAATTAGGAACAAATATTTTATGTACATATATCTTTTATTTCATGTATGTTTGTATGTTTGCCAAAGCGTGATTCTATGGTAAAGGCAAACGTAAAAACTATAAACTCAGTTTGGGACTTAAGAAAGTAAGGAAGAGCTAAATTCGGGTATAACCGAACATATCATACTCTTTAATATAATTATTTTAATATATCGAACGTTCAATTGATAATATTAATCATATAAAGGGCGGAGGTTTGAAAATAGGAGCAGATTTGACCCAATTTTATCTGTTTCTTGTATTACTACAGAGATGCTCTCTGAGTTTCATTAAGGTTCCTAACATACCATCAACAGTCGGGTCTGGGTAACCGGAACAGACCCGGATTTTTATCTTATATTTATCTCATACACGATCAAGAATTTATTTGAACACCGTTTACATGTCTCCATATTAATTTTTCCATTCAAGTTGACGACCTAGTTTAATCAGTTGATAACATAGTTTTGCGAATAAATGACAGGCAATTGTCAGGAATATGAATATTTCGTTATGTTCATGGATTTATATCCAAATATAAAGATATTACACCATTATGGTATATTATTAGGTTAGGTTAGTCTAGTAGACTAATGTCACATATTTTAAACATTAAACTATGGTATATCCAATAATATAAGTACTTTCACTTAAATTTGCTAAGATTTCTTACTTATTGGCCGATAGATGCGACATAAAGTTAACAGTTCTAGAATATTTATATCAGGTGTATGAGAGTTAAGAGAAGTAATGCCCGATTTTACCCATTGGCAAGGCGAGTTTCCCCATTGTCCTATTTCTACATCTGCTTCTGTAAAATTCTTTCCTACCATCTTGGTTGTGAAATTTAATACTTGTGGCTTATTTATTCAGTGAGGTTTCATATTTTTGTAGTCTTCAAAATTTACTTTGAACTTGATTTAAATACTATAGTTCTATGTATTTCACTATAATATATATGTAGTATTTGTATTTGAAAAAAAAAAAACATTCAGAAAACTTGGCACAGATTATTGTTCATGCTAAACGCTACAACCACTAAACAAATCGATAACAGCAGATCGGTCCACTACAGCAAATAGGTGCCATTTATGTTTTTTGTTTACTTTATCATCATTTTCAAATAAAACTATGCATTCAATTTTTTTAATATAACCCACTGAAGTAAATAGATTTGCAAGAATTATCTTTTTAAATTTGCTTAGCTAGAACTATTTTTCCGGATTTGATATATACTATTATATACTCGTATTAT